AGTGCCGAATGGTTTTCCGCATCAGTTCTGTGTGTACTGCCATATCCCTGCCAGTCCCACATCTTGACATCATAGGCAAGTAAAGAAAAAATTGTGGGGAGGAGGAAGGACAATCTCTAAGGAAAATACTAGGGGGTATGGAGGGGTGGCTTCCGCCACTGTGTGCACCCCCGGAGATGAATGGGTGGGAAGTGCCCCCTGGATTTGTGTGCAGGGTGAGGGGGGCTGTGTCAGCCTCTTCCCAGCAGGGGGGCTGGGCAGGGACTGTGCTTGGGCAGGCAGTGACGGTGCTGGGAGGAAGGGCTACGGGGAGTTTTGGGATGGCTGTAGCTCATCCCACAGCCACCCTTCCCAGCACCACCTGTCCTGAGTGCAGCCCCGGCCCAGAGAAGCGGCCGTTGCAACCTCTGGCCCCCAAGCCTGAAGTGGGCAGCCAGCCCTCACCCCACGCACAAATCTGGGGGGGCACATGCCCCCCATGCTGCCCCCAGGGGTGCGTGCAGTGGCAGGAGCCACCCCTCCTGACCCCTGTGACCCCTGGACAAGATGCCCACAGCTCTGTCCTGCGCCCCACCCTAGCTGAGCAGCACCTGCCCCAGCTGCACTCACTCCCTCACTGTGGGCGCCTCGATCTACCCCCTATGCCTCTTTTCTCCCTTCCCCACACAGACTTACCAGCTGGACCCTGCTCTCCAAGCTGCAGGGCTGCATTTCTGGGTGTGTGCCTGCTGCGGCTGTACTCATGCACGTGGCATTTATCCTTGACATTATCAGCTACACTGGCCAAAAAAAGTCGATTGCCAGTACTGTCAATTTTCTTTTTGTCGGTGCCGATCTGATATGGACTGATAATCAGAGCACCTCTAGAAACCACAAATGCTATAGATGACACTTCCTTCTGACATAGTACTAAATTGATGCTGTATTTTAAGTCTTGTCATTTGCATCAGATATGAAATAAGCAAAGATTCTTTGGTGTCACCATAGGATTTGATGGCTTATATTGCATGCAGAGTGAGGGTGGCTTGGGGGTCCAGAGGTTATTCCAATATTAATGCATTCTACCTACTTAAAACCCCCCTGTTCCTTGAATGACTATTGTCTAGCATGCCAGAGCCTGTGTTTCACAGGTGGCTTTTGATCTGTATTGACACTATCTTGAGTACTCTGATCTTTCAAATCAAAGAATGCTAAGTAAATTTTGCTATAATGACAGAAAGTGAGAGTTAGTCAACTACACGCTGCTTGCTCCTAGGCTTATATTACTTCAACCCTCTCATTTTCTTTGCTGCACCAAGTTGTAATGAGGACAGGACAAAATGGAAAATTTTTATTTTAGGCGAAGCGTGTGTCCTTCCTGTGTGGAGTCCAGCAGTATGGACACCCTGTATGTGTCCCACATCTAGATGGTGAATATGTTCTTTGCTAAACATGTTTGCTGTAATCTCACTGGCCATATTTTTTTCCCCAAAGTTTGCTTTTGCTACCAAATTATGTAGCTGAAAGCACGGTATGAAGCCTGGAGTGCAGGTTGTATGCTTTTAGAAGCGTAGCACTGTATAGAAAGGTTGTTCGTTATGACTCTGTTAATGCGCTTTGCCCAAAACCTTTATGGACTGGAATCCATCCAGCATGGCTGCAGAGTAATAGCACTGTTTTGTAGTGCAGGATAACATTTTTTTTCCACATCTTTGCAGGACTGTAATAGAAGCACAGAAAGGAGAAAGGCAAAGACAACAAGATGATTTTGACATCGCTGTCTCCTCATGTTCTACCATCTTTTTAAAGAGGAAGGGAAGGGTAGTTGGATCTTCTACTCTACCATTTAATGTTCTCTGCATTTCTATAAGAGGAAAAGTGTAGATTGGGTGTGGAGGTTGCACATACCATAGGTCTGGTACTCTTGCATACTGTACCTTTCACCTCCTGAGAGACTGCTTGGGGTTCCTTTCATAATCAGCATGGGAAATTTAAGTGATTAGATCCCAAATAAAACAGGGAAAGACTGTAACAAAGCTTCATTGTTTATTTTCTTGCTTGTTAACTAAGTGCCTGTTATCCAGTATGGTTGTCTTGATCTTGATCTGTCCTTATTTCCTTTTAGATAATACATCAGTCTTTACTTACTGTAAATGACAGGACCAAGTATACTGAAATTTTAACACTTGACTTAAAATCTATCAGTATTCAATATACAAAAGCAATTCAAGTAGGAATATAGAATGTCATTGCAGGTTGAAAAACATTCTTTGTGAGTTTTTGGGCACAAGCACCCTTCTTCAGGCATTGGGAAACTATGTTCTGAGATCTCCAAGGTAGGAAAGAAGCTAAAAGTGTGACAGGAAGTCAGTGAAAATATAAATAGGTGGAAGTCTGGAAAACAATGGGTAGAGAAGGAAGGGGCGGGGAGGGGGAAATTATGGGTGGAGTAATAATGGGGGGGAGCATGTCCCACTTTACATGGTGATGTGGCTGTACTTCCAAATGAAAAATATTTTAAAAAGAAATTGCATAACATGCAGACTGGCAGGTTGGGCTTGAAGAATCCAAGCTTTTTTCCTGTATGTAGCTATGACAGTTTATTGTGTGTGACTTCTTTTAAACATGCAGGAAGTATTGTATGCTATCTCTTGCGCCTTTTTTTAAGGCAGTAGCAAGCTCCATGAGCACATGGACATTTGTTTTACTGGGGGACAAAGTTCAAACCTTTAATGGCTTTTATGCCTTCTCTAGAAACCATCTGTTGTGCTAAGGCCTATGATGTGTTCTCAGGTGGTTTCTTGTTGCTGTCACTTTTACTGTGCAGGCTGCTGGGGCTGGTGTGTTCTGGAAGGTCAGTGCTAGCTAACAGCTTTCCAGATTCCAGAGGCAACACAGAAAGAACAACTTGAAGTATTCAGTGTCAAATCTCGAGAGGTTTATTGTCACATGGAGGGTCTACCAGCCCGTCTTGTTGATAGTGAAACTTGCCTGTAACAAGCATGTCACTTACACTCCTTGGGGTCACTGTGAAAAACAAGTCTTGCAGCACCTGTTTTTATACCTGAAATGCCATAATCTTGTGCTAATTTTCCTCTTTAGGTTGAGATGTCCATGTCTACTTGTTTCTTTTGCTGAGTTTGCACACCTGCATCTTAGGTTCTTTCTCTCTCTACCTTGTTAGTAGGTTCTTTTACTTCTGGAGTTATTCAGCTACTGCTTTTGCTACTCCCTTCTTTGGATCAACTTTTTCAATCATTCGTGTCTTTTATTTTTGACTTTTATCAGGTCATTCAGCGGTCATAAGGCTTGTTCTTCTCAAGCTCCTTTTCAGAGCCTTAGCTTAACTATAGCCTGGTGTACCTATGGCTTACCATAACTGGAATTCTTACACCATCTCCTGAAAGAAGGACTGGATAATGATGCGTAGGTTAACAAGTCATTTAAACTTGTTTTGGGATTTTTGTAGTGCTGATGTGAAACTTCAGGGAGAAATCCATAGGTTATATTAGTCTGAAGAGCACAACTGGAAAGGTACTTTAAGGGGGAAAATTGATGCGGTAGTAAGGATCAGTAAGGATTAGAGCATTGTTCATTCAATCTGAAGCCTTACATATGTTGAAAAGGGAGACTACGTATGACCTGGCCAGAGAAGCCTTACAGGAGAGACACCCCCCATTTGAAATCATAGCAAGGGGCTAGGACGGAGGTTAGGCAAGGGGTGCTATGTGCATGCACACACACATGCTCATGGCCACCAGGCAGCCTGGAGAGCAGCTCCCGCAGGTAAATCTGTATTGGGGGGGAGGGGAGGGGGCGGGAATTGAGACCACCATAGTGGGGGAGTTGGGCAGGGCTGGAGCTGCTGCCCAGCCTGGGTAGTGCTTGAGGCCTGGGGCTAGAATACATGGCTGCAGGGTCTGGGCAAGGAGTGGAATGGAGCCACAGGTGGTTTGTCCAGGGGGCAGCAAGGGAAGTGGGGGGGGCGGGGAGGAGGGGAGGAGGTGCCCCCCCAGAATTGTGCATGGGGCAGAGACAGGTGTGGGTTGGCTGCTGTAGGCTTGGGCTCCCCACCCTGCTGCCCTCCCCCTGGGGTCTCTGTAGCCTAGCAGATGGGACCTGGCATGGTAGAGCAGAGTGGGGCCAGGCAGGGAAGCTTGATGCTGCTATGGGGAGGTGCCCCCTCCTGCCTGGCAGCAGTGGGAGGCACAACTCTGCATCACCACCCTTGCTGCTGCCAGGCAGGCAGGGGGTATGTTGCCAGGGTGGTGCTTGGCTAGCCATGGTAGCATTGAGTTTCCTTGTCTTGCTGCACCAGGTCCCACCGACTGGACTGTGAAGGCTCCGGGGGGAGGACGGCAGGGCATGGAGCCTGAACTCACACTGGGCAGCCTGCTCCTGCCCCACCCACAGGCTCTGTGACTCATGGACAAGGGCTCTGCGCTCCATTGCACCATAGCATCTAGGGCTCAGGCAGCAAGTGAGGGATTCTGGGGGTTTTAATTCAAATTACTTCAACAGAGAAAGCCAGGATCCTTGCTAATGACCATCCAGATTTTACTCATGCATCTAGAGACCCCAACTCCCATAGCTCCAGCCTAGGCTGAAGTCTACACCCCTAACATTTTCTTTACTCTCACCAAAATATCCAGCCTGGCTTTCTGGTACTTCTTTGAATGAAATAAAATAACCAACATTACCTACTATAATAGTTACATTTTTTTCTGTCATTGTGCTGGATTCTGCTTATTGATCAACTGCCTTCCAGGAAAGCTGCTCTCACTCCAGCATGGAATTTCAGTTATAGCTGCATGCAAAAGATTTTCCCAGCTTTTGAGGCAGTCTGTAATTAGTGTCTTCTGTCTACATCAAGGATTTTACTTGTCTGAAGTACAGTTGAAGTAGGATGAGAAAGCACTGTACTTCAAAGGAAGTTAGGAGCACAGAACAGTTTGTACACCCAGAAGATTCAGACTCAGTGAATAAGACATGCATATAATGCTGAAAGGAGGGTTACTTTCCTTCTTAAGAGTCTATCTCCAGCACAGAAAGCTTTATTTGCAACAAGACAGTGAAATACATGTTCAGTTTTAGGTCTGTTTCAGGGATCATTGCCTGCATAGAACTTCGACAAAAAATCCGTGGGTTGCGGTGTTTCTGTCTCATGGAAATATCTCAGGACATGTGTCCGCTGCTTCCATACATGAATAGTTTCCTGTAGCTCAATTTTCCCCTACACACACAAAAAAAAATCATAGACAAAATTCCAGTTACAGATCAGCTGTAGTTGCTTAAACTTAAACCAATAGTCCAAAGTTTCTGAGAGGCACTGTTTCGCATCTCTTAGTATAAGGGAGGGGTTAATAAAGTGTCAGTGGTCTCGGTAGTTATTTACTGCTTTTACTGAGTTACCTCACGCTTACAGCATTCTAGGCTCTGCTACTGTCTCCTAAGATCTGGTGCTGACAAGTTTAGACAAGCCAACAACATTGCTGGTCTTGACCCAATTTTCCAATGAGCAGGAAATCCATCCTTCTCTGTGACCTGCATGCCTAATATCCATCCACTCCTATATAGCCTGGCAGCAGAAGCAGCATAGAAAAGAAATGCCAAGACTAGCCTTTCTGCCAATCCCCCCTCCCCAAACAAAACACTGCACAATTTCTGAACTAATAGCTCCCCTTCTCCCCTCAGTGTTTCTGGTTTCCAGGCACCTTCATCTTAAAAAGCCTCTTGCAATTCCAGATCCATCAGTAGATTTAGATATAGAATATTCACTGATGGCAAAAAAGCAAAAAATACCAGGTTTGTCATACTGAATACCATAACCTTATGTGTAGCAATGCCATGCAATAGCAATACAAGACAAAGTAGTCTGGGTATCACAGCTGTGCTGTCTCCTACTTCAAAGATTTGCTCAAATCAAGCATGTTAAGTTTGATTTATTTTGGCTTCATAAATCTGGTTAATTTTCAGGAGTGGGAGGAAAAGAGGTAGGAAGAAGAATCCCTATATTAATAACTTTTTGTTTTGCTTAAAACAAATTCAGTTCCATATATTTGCCTTTAATAATGCCATATTGACCTGTAGCAACTTGCAGTTAATTTTTTTTCTGTTGCTTAACAACTTTACAGTTCAACTAAACTTGCATTAACAACCAATTCTAAAATGCAATGTTACTCCAGATGGACTGTACACGCTCTCTCTCTTTTTGTTACCCGTTTGATAGAGAGAGGCATAAAGCTTAATGTACACATCTCGCAAACTTAGCTGTAAAAAAAAAAAAAAAAAAATGAGCCAGTGTTCTGGCTCTTAAGCCCAAAGCTGTTTGTAACATGGGCTTCTTTTGCTTCAGAAAAGAGAAGATGACAAGAGTGGGTAAGCTATGAAGTGATAATGAAAGCAACCTTTCCATGAGTCTTATGACACATCTCTTCTTAAAGAAGATGCACAGGAAGCTAGAGGCAATGTTTTTACATGCTTGACAATTCCTATTTGCAATTGCAGAACAAGAGAAGACTGGTTACCTGTGCTCCTCAGTCTAGCGAGAAGTCCATTATAAAGGAACTAGCTGCTTTAGTAGGGAAA